TATATATACATACATATATATTAGTTTTTCTAAAAAATTAACTAGATGTATAACCGAATGTATATATTACCATCGCCACCTATGCGTCGATTGTGTATCGTGCAATACACACTGTGAGCATGTATCTATGCGAATGTTTATTTGTCCCGTGTGTTTTTATTTGTTTGTCTTTCACGGTATTTATATTATATGACATGGTATTATATTATTGTTGTCATGCCATTGATCACTACATCTATGGAAAATTCTACTTAGAGTACACATTTGCTTTCGTCGAATTAAAAATGTTCCATGTTTGACATGCGTTGTACAGTTGCTCCCTCTTTGCAATTGCAATCTACGCTCCTGTCGCTCGACGTTGTTCTTGCAGCTGTTTGCTTATTTTTAACGTTGAGCTATTCTACCTTACAATTGTATACATAATCAGCCTTTTTATAGAAGGCCTTCGACAGTGAGACAGGCTGTCAAAAACTTGATATATATCGAGCATATAAAACACCGGGGTAGAATATTTATTGCATGTGCGCCTCGAGCGGGACATTATTAAACCCAGTCTCATCAAAAGTTGAAGTACCATATTGGAGCACATGTGGCAATCGACACACTTCTAGCGACTGACATGCTCAACTGGTTAACAGCAGTGCCCTCCTGAAACGAGAGTGCGAAAAATACTTTTTCTAGGTAAAATCTATTATATGTTAGAAGAGGTGCCTCGCGTTGCTGTCTGAATGATGATGTAGATGTTGATCACATGCCCAAGATGGTCTAACTTTCTCGTTTTTTATGACTTTTCGTGTGTTCGATTTCCTTTCGCCACTGACATTTTTTTCTACTTCCTAGTCTTCGTAGAGGCCTTCAAGTGTTGGTAGGACCGCATCTGTTAGATCTTGAGGTAAAGGAAGAATGCTGAGCGATGGCTGTTCGTACTCAAGCTGTTGCGGATCTAAGGTTCCCCCTTGGAGAGTATCGAGCAGGTCACTAGCGCTGCCTGCACCAGGACGCTGTCCTCTGTTGCTATGGACTTGTACTGTCAGGACAGGTGTAGATAGAAGTCCACTCAATGTCGGATTATTTCCGCCAGATTGTCCTCCTGCCGGTATACCTCCACTGCCACTACCGACGGCACCGCCACTACTGAGCGCGTTGTTTAAGTTGATCGTATTGTTGTTGAGTCCCTTCATAACGCCGAGATTGCGTTTCTGCCGTTTCTCAGCGCACTTGTATGAATGCGTCCGCATGTTGTCCAATCGCGACGATCGATACGAGCAGTAGTTACAAGCATATGGTCTCTCACCGGTGTGAGTTCGAGCGTGACGTACTACAAGGTTTCGGTGTGGTGCACAATAATTGCAATGCTTACATTTGTAGCCCCCTTCGAACGGGATGTAATGAACCTCGTCTGACGCCTGGGGACCACCCGCCACTGGACCTCCGGGACCCCCGCCTCCCGGCAACATCGTGAGTAGGGAAAGCATCATTTCTGCAAAGAGCGTACACCCATTGAATAAAAAAAATGAGTGTACAGGAGACACACGAAGAAGAGGAGACAAGGCGAAACGTCAGCAGAGGCTGAGCATATGAAAGAAAATGTAGGTAGATAAGTGTCACCAGTGGTAACATAGTCAGTCATACAGAAGATGTTACGGTAGGCGATCATACGTTACGGGAGCTTACGGTACGTGAGTATGTCATTAGTGTTGACTCACACTAATGGATGCTGGATCGTATACACTGACTGAATGGGCCACAGTGCGTTTGCTAGTTCAGGCTCGATCACGGATCATCACGTCGATCGTGCATCGTTTCCTGACCGTATTGTCAGGAACGTAGTTCTGTCTTGACATTTAATTAGCCGCAAGGCGGAAGTTAGCATTCGTTTGAAAGTAGGTGGAAATATTTGTTAAAATACAGACAACCGAAAAAAAAGGCGGTAGTAACAGTAGCGTGAAATGACGCGTGCGACGTTTTTGCTGTGATTGTTATTGTTGCGTTGGTAAGTGAGCGTTACGACAAACGACAATATTAGTTCGATAGGACCTTCCTTGTTAAGTGACAACTTCCCTGTCTCAGTTTCTTGGCATTGGACAACAAGCGCGAATTGTAGTACCCTTAGCGTCGTGTTCCAGCGAACGATTTGGTGTTAGTCGGCAGCCGAGCATACAATTACCAAGAGGCAGTCAGTCTCACAACATCGGTTAGGGTCAGTAGTTCTGTAATAGTCATGAAGTCAAGTAAATAACGAGCACATTCTATAGGAAAAGCACAGAAGCTAGCTAAACCAGGTATGAAATACGGTAAGTCCAGGTATGCCACCTATTTTTTTCAATATCGAAGTCCCAGTAGCAGTGGCAAACTTTTCAGTAGCTGTGTCGATAAAAATACCGGGGGAGCCGCATATGGTCGCAGCAATTAGGAAACCACCAACTGCTGTGTGTCCACAATGGACGGAGACAACAATGAAAGTCGCACCGATCACAGCGTTTGTACTATCGGAACACTCCGTCAAAAGACGTACAGGACGTGCTGAACTGACCCTTCATGAAATCATCTGCCTGTACAGGGAAAAGATCTAGATGTGCTACTGCGACTACGATGGAACTTCCTCAACCATCACCATGAAGCAATAATGGACAACAGTGTGATTGTTCTTCTATGTGCACACCACAGTGAATACACACGTTATTACCATGAGTTCAATGGGACAAAACGTGCGTCGTTTTATTTTATTGATAGGAAATTTCGACCTCCTTTCTGTGTGACGTTCATTCGGTTCGCGAATTATTATAGCTAGCTGCAGAACTATCTTTTAAGAAGATCTTTAATCGTCCGCGGACGTCGAGGGCGCCCTCTGCTGTTCGGGGATTCGGCAATCGGTGTTCCAGTGGGCGTTCCGCTACCGTTACTGCTACCATCACGGTGTTCAACGTTTGGCCAGAGTTTAACTGGATAGACTAGGTTGTCTGCAAAGTATAGAGACTGTTAGAAGAGTCCTGATCAGCATCTTTAATAGCCACAATTGCAAATGCAAGGTCTACGTAAAACAAATATCTATGTACAGCATGGCGTGCATCAGACATGCGTGTGCAACATTGTCACCATAATCATTCTAACATGAGCTAGCAAAAGACAAAGTCGAAAGATCGATGAAATTAACTGCCTCTAGAAATCATGAATCAATCAACTCATCTCCCGTATCTTCCGTAACACACCACGCATTTATTTTTATTTAGAAATAACCTATAGTAAACACAGTACTGAATCAGTACGTCTATATAAAATATACATTTTGTATCGTTTTCAAGAAGTGACCAACAAATAAAACATGTTTACGGGCAACTACCCCAACCCCTCCCTCCCTTCCTTCCTGGCTCGCTCGCTCACTCCCTCTGGCAGGAGATTTCCGCCTTTGGTCGTCCTTATGCGATCCCTTATATCGCTATTGGTTTCTGCATCGGATGTAGGAAACCAGCGGTTTTTTCCTGATTTAGCGTCGCCTGCGAAAGAGTTCAATCCAAAACAGTCATAGTTTAATGGAAAGGGTCGAAGGGACCTTTCGAAATTGATTCCGTTACGTGTTCTAGTCACTGTCAGGGTGCGCGTTTGCTTTTTGCCATCTATCAATTTGAGATCTGGCACACATTCCCTTTTTCTAAATACATGAACGAACTTACTGAAATGGAGATAACAGAATGCCTCTATTGTGAGTAAGATACATTTGATTGGTACTACTTCTCACGATGCGTCTTTGAAAATTTACAATTTATTTACATATGTAAAGCGTTTAGCCTACATATAGCTCTGCGCAAAAGAAGGATTCTCGTGATCTATTGGCCCTTGCACTCATCAGGTGTTTTCTACGATGGAACTTCAGACCGGTTGTGTCCTGGGAGAGGATCCGTATTAGGACCGTCGACACGATGCGCGTTCTTAGTCCGATTAAAGAACCGCCAGACCGGTGGTGTCCTCGCAGAAGTGTAGTGGAAGCTGTTCTCAGAACTCCCATTAATTTCCTCTATAAAGCAAAGCAAATTTTGGCAACCATCAGTTACGAAATACCACGGATGTATTTATGCGCACATAGCATGGCTATCCAAATCGCAATTGGAACTAGAGCAGAATTGGTTCCTTGAACTATCTTCTAGCTAGTTCTCTGTTATAAGATTTAGAAAACATGTAAAGAAATGAAGTTCTTCATTCACAGGCATAACATCGAAACAATCCACAAACCTGAAGTGGATGACACGTGCGCCATTATGATCGTATCGTGGTCTATGGAATATGCTGTCTGTATGCTTGCCGTCGCGCTGTAACCGTATCTCTAGAAAGCTGGTCATAGTCAGACGCGGTCGTCTGTATGGAATTCAGGAATTAGGGCGGAGTCCGTCTCACTGAAATCGGACAATTCTGTTAGAATCGACTTCTTTTTTTTTTAAACAATATTTAAATTATGGTTATATACCGTGAGTTAAAGGTGAAATGTTTGATTTCTGATTTAGGCGAAACGTGTATGTAAAAGAGAACACAATAAGAAACAATAATACTAAACATTTACTGGAAGTTGTCCATGTAAAAAGATATATTTGTCTTTCGAAGGACGATCTCATGGATTTTAGAAAGCATCTGTTCTAAGGAACTGGTCTGAACTTTAACACGGACAACTCGTTTAACAGAGTACTGCAAAAAAGAACGTTAAATATATAACCTTCGATTTTCTATTCACATAATGCATTGACAATAATTGATATTTTTCAATATATACTGCTTTTTTTTTCCATATATTAATATGATATGGTATCTAGGAATGTTTCCTCTCGCTTTCTGGTTCCTTTCCTGTTCGCCACCGGCGTCTTAACGCCCTAAGTGATTCCTACTAAAGCGCAAGAAACTTGACAAGAGACAGCTCGCCTTGGATTTCTGCGGCGTTTCGGGACACGCACAACTTCTAAAATCAACCTCATAGAATGGTAGTTAGCCATTTGTAGTTAATTGAGAAGTTCTAAAAAATTGATACATAAATACGAAGGCATTCCGTTGAAAACCAAGACGGTATAACGTTTCATCTAATTGGGAATTCCTTTGGAACGATTTATTGAGGTATCATTTGTGGTCTCTGATAATCGCCACGATTGCCAACATTTGGAATCAAACGATGGCCACATATATTAGGTTCATGGTAATCGAATCTTCTATCTTCTTGGACTAGTCCGTACACAAATATACGCTACAATCAACTGCTAATCCCTGCGCACCTCGTTTGAGTGCATCTGACAATGCGAGAGAAGTCCAGGTTTGCCTTTAACAAAATGGCGACTAACAGGAGTGAGGAACTTCCTTGGTGCAGCCGAACTCGCCCGAAGCCCACATAGCTGTAGTAAGTTGTACTTCATGGCTGGGGCTGATTCGACTGCCGCAGCTGTGAGCTGGCTCTGGGGACGAACCGATAACAACGGTGACGGCTACGCACCATGCATTAGGCAGATCACTTGCCCTACATGCCACCCATCTGTACCTACGATATCGCCCTGCGGTGATGACCAAGTGGAAACAGGAAAACAACAAAAAATGTTCGACATGTTGTTACACTATAAAATCATGAAACGTAAGGAACAGACTCCTAATGCAGATTGTTTCTTATCGGAAAATATTTGAAATCAAAGCTATACAAATCCCGTAAAGCTAAATATTAGCTATTTCGATCTTTAGCATTACTTCGTCGCGAGGAGCGCTACTGCAGCTGAGAAAAAGGCAGGTCAACGACGAAATTTCTTATAGCATAAGCGTAGTTTTTTACATTTTGTAATAGAAGCAGATAATGTTCATCATCTTTCTGTATTAGGAACTGTTGTATATCAGCATTTCTTATTACGGAATGGTCGTAGGAGCAATAAGAGACCAAAGGTTTATAACTTTCATTCGTCATTATTCGACTGTGGACCCCTACTGTGCCCCATATCAGTCAATTTTACAGTCATCACCACAGTTACTGGCCACCTTGACGAACATCTATATTGTCTACGCAGGACTAAGGAAAACCTGAATAAGTGGTGACTCTGTGCGATAAAGGCTACCTTTGCCGATTTAATGTTTGATCGCGGCTATTAGCCACTACGCTCATTCGCTCCTGATTATACTTCTATTTACAGTGAGCGTAATTTATATACTATATTCCACGGCATAACATACTGTGGTGACTTAATTCACTTTTTAACAGTTTACGAAACTACCAGTGCTTGCATATATTATAGCTTTGTTTTTTTCGTAAAATTTTTACTTTAGGTATCATTTTCCAGTTTATTCAATAAAACGAACATACTTCGGAACTTTTCAAGTGCCGGAAAGTTTTACGTTTTCCTTCCTACCTACCTAATCATCTTGTAACGTATCGATACCCTTCGTCACACTACGATATAGTTCGAATTCATCTTATTTTTATCAAGGATAGCGGCAGCATATTATCTCTCAAAACTTTCGTTATCTAACCTTCCCTTCTTTTTCGCTGGTAGTTAAAATCACCATGCATATCTATCTACCCATTTCACTTGATCGAGCCCTTCCAGAAATTCTTATTAATTCTCATGTTTTTACGTGTCGATCGCAGATAGGGACATTTCACGTAGCTGGTTATTGTTGGGAGCTCATACGTTTCCGACCGGATCCGGCAATTCGGATCGGCATGCAGATGTTCGTGCATGCTTTGAATCTTGTCAAAGTACGTGTCACATCGGGCACTTTTAACGTCAATAACTTCGAAATCAGCCCATACCGTTGAACATTTCTGAGGACCGCTCGAACGAGCTTTGTATTCTGAGTATCCCGATTGCCTAACCGATGCTACCGATCGCGTTATGAAATGAACATGTTGAAAAGCACTGATAGAAGTTTGGATTTCCCCATGGATTCGCTGACCATTAGTGACGCCATAATCTGGATGAAACGGTCATGCAACCTTGTCAGCTGGGTAGCGCAGGCAGTCGTTGGCACTGCTTGTTTGAATGTGGTCTACGGATCTCCGCTACAGGTCAGGTCCATCTGGAAATATAGAGACATTGAGACCGTTTGTCAGTTGACAGCGCCTATTGGGCCTCAATAACAGAAACAGCAGAGAAATAGCCGTTTCATGATCGCATGCCTCTTACCTCATTCAGATAGTCTTCGTGCATGCTAGTGAGCTTTGCAATTTCCATGCAACGAAAAACAAGGACTCGATTAGATTCATTCGTTTTAGACACCGCGCCATGATATACCGTAAACAACACATGAGGACACGTTCTACTTTGTTATCACATATCAAGGTCGGCAAATCCTTTGCGGCAAATCCAGTGATAGCGATGTGTATAAACATACTTGGCAAACGACTGCCGAGCCCGTTCCATCTTATTGGCCTCTTTCGAAGTTGACCCCATCCAGACCTTCTACCTCTCATTCCGAAGATACACGTTCAGGTTTATCTAGTTCTATCCCCTGAAAGCAAACGTAGCATTATCAATCCATAAAGATCGTAGCGTTTCTTCTGACTGAGTAATCGTTCACTTCCTATTTTTCCTTACGTTGCACTCTATCGAGTTGAATCCAGGAAACTATAATGCATAAAGATAATTTTCACAACAATAAGAAGGGGAACTTACTGTTTTAGTAATCTCTGTTCTAAATTATTATGAAAGAAAACACAGAATTTCTTGTCAAAAAAAAAAACACGCCCTGGTGGGTTTATTAGCGTTAACATCGTCACGTTAGGATCACTTTCACTTCAGTGATTCAAACGATTGTACAAAACAATTATTACACACCCTTAGGCGACTGTGGTCGGGTGTACGTTGAGCATGTATCCATTCATAGCTTTCATTATTGCTCTTATTGTCCAACTCAGTTTGAGCTCGCTGACATCTTTGCTAATATTTGGTAACCTGACAAGCAAACAGGCAACACCGAAGCGTCAAAGTGTCGTTTGTTGTTTGTAGGTAGAATGATATCCCTAGCCTTCAAAAATATTGTATCGGAACATACAGCTCTGGCTTTCGCCACCGGTGAAATTTATCTTTAATAGTTCGGACCATTTTTTTCGCTTACTTGTCCGTACAAGCTGCATTTTACATAATTTGTGGGTAAGCTGTTAAAGTAAAGCATATATTTGAAATTCTAACATCTACTGCCAGATTACTGTATATAGTACACCTGCAATTCCAATTTCGTGAACTCCTGTTATTTGATTTGATACCGTTACAACCGGTAACACAATTTGAAATTGGTCATTTTTTTTTTTATATTATAAGTGCATTTGTTTTATTTATGCTTTTTTTTTTACACGTAAGCTGTAAGCATCCGTATTCGCTGGCTCGAGGTCCCCGAAGGCCTGCCCTATTCTGAAGATTCTTAATGCATTCGGAACGTCTCGGTACCGAAACTACGATTCTCTTCGCGTCATACGGTATCCCTAAGAGATGTCCGATGCTCACAACAGCTGTACAACGAAATTATTATGACATCTGCTGATATCTAAGCCAAATGCCTAACTGAGAAGAGCTATATTGTGTTACTATACCTACCGTTTTTCTCTATCGACTGTTTAATCAAGGATACTGGCACCAAATTTCGGGGCCTCAAACATCATATGTACAACCTGTTCGTGTTCACGGACAGCTCGCCGACTTCCCTGGAACCCACAAATCCGACAGCGTCTAAACGGTACAGAGCTGTTGCCAACGACGGTTGCCATGGAAACAATGGGCCCGCCTGTTGTCATTGCACCGCCCGTTGCTATGGGAACGGTCGAACTTAGCGACGGAGGTGGTGGCGGTGGTAACGAAGGCGCAGCTCCAACACTCCCAGCCGGAACAATGGCCACTGGAGGACCATGATGTCCTTCCGTCGCCGGCAGAACAACCCCTGACGCTCCGCTAGAGCCACTTGTCCCACCGGCGCTTCTATGCGGTGGCACTTGTAAAGGAAGTTGAACGACGAGCGGGTGCTGCAGTCGTGTGTGAGCTACTAGTTCGGCACGCGACGTCGTGAGAAAAGTGCACTTCGGACATCGAATCAACCGGTACGAGATGGTCGCCAGCTCTGTAAATGTGTTCATTCAATTATTACATCTGAGAAATGCCGAAAGTGACGATCCTCGCTTGTACAAACATTCTCGTTCTATGTGGTCTACGGAAATATGGTCATAAAGTGAAATATATTTGCAACGGATAGTAAAACGTGAAATGCCTTTTACGGTATCTGAACATGGATGTCTTTTTTGCCATTTGATCAATCCCCTCCGCTGCACAATAACTATTTGGACTATATTTCTCGGTAATAATGAATGAGCGTAAATTACCAACATACATCATATTTATTACTTAAATCTAAATGCTTTTTTTTTTTTTATTTATTGACAGCTGTTGCCATCGGAAATAGCGGACAAGGACGACGTTGTCCGCACGCACACTCTTGTTAAGATACAATCGAGGCTGTAGACTTTTCAGAACTTGATTGTGACGCTTTACATGCTGCAGTAGAACTTCCTAGTGTGCCATAGATGAAACCGAATTGCCCAGTAAAGACCTTCAACGATACGGTTTTGAAGTTCTTTTGATTGGTTCGTCTAAATGGTTCGGCTGTAAGATTAAGTCATTCTGTAAACCCAACTTATCGATCTGTATCAAATTTGCGAAGGTGCATATCTGAGTTTTTCGGCTACTTCATAGAACCGAGCGATCATAGATAGAAATTTGTCGCAAATCTTAATAACTTTCAGTGAAAACACGATAAAACGTTGTTCTTTCTTGATACAATAAATATGATGTGATCGTGATATTTATTGACGCATATATATTCATCTATACGATACCAACAAACCAACAATGGCTGATAGATGGATTATACTTGATACTAATTATAATTTACACTTCACAGATTTATTTTATCACAAACATTTGTTAGTAATTACAAAATGAAATCCATATACCTTTCACAGTGTTAAAGTGGATTTGGTAATCATCTGATTTTAGTAAACGACAGAAGAAAGAATAGCAACAGCCATGGACAATAACGTAATAGGCTTCTCCATGTAAGTTTTCTCATCTTGAATTGTTTTTCTACATCTGTTTATAGAGGAGCTATTTCTTTCCTCGTTTACAAATCTATCTTAATTGATGTATGAATCAAAGAAATATTGTTGTATGTATATATATATATATATATATATAATTAAGATAATTTCGTGTATCTGAATATATACATACAGTATACAGGTTCTGTTCATTATGATTTCCTTAGTCGTTATCGTCGAAGATCAATAGGTTTACTGGGCAATACATAAAAATGGGACAGGTTACAAGGTGGTCGATAATGACGTTAGAATATAACACGCTTCAATCTTTCTTCGATATACTAGATAGTAATAAGATTATTTATAGTGTAAAACACATCAGATGGGATGAATAGATGGAGATATAATAGCGATATAATTCCAATAGAATTCGTTTGCACATTATGACGACGGTGGTATATCGAGGACGCCAACAACGATCTTGACAACAACAATTAGATAACATTCGTTATTCAAACAGTTTCGTCCTTCTTTCTTCGAAATGTTCTTCTTACCATTTCGTCGTCCGCTTTTTGCATACGTATTTGTATAGGCCTACGTATGCTGCGGCTGCGCCCTCCAACGGCATCAAACAAAACACTTTTTTCTCAAAGGTTTTTATATATATATAATTTTGTTTATGCATACCTATTTAGTTATATATATATATATATATATATATATATATATATATATATATATAGCTATATATATGTGTGTGTGTGTGTATCGCAAATATCTGCCGCCGATCTGGAAGTCAATCCGAGCGACCGCTTTTGTCTTAACCCTCGATCGATCTACCTAAGTATATATATATATATATATATATATATATAATAATATTGAATATGTATATATGAACACCTCAAAAAATATCCGCCTCTTCTCTATTTCTGTATGATCTTTTGGCTCACGCGCGAGTTTCGGTAGGTAATTTTTACCACGATTTTTTTCTTTTTTGAAGTTCGATACTTCCCTCCAAAGCTGTATAGCATTGCAAACAGTTTGCAGAAATGTTCGACAATAGACAATGCCGATGCCATGAGGTAATATTATCATTTATATATATATATAATTTTCGGAAGAAAAATGTGGAAAAAACATTGTGTTCTAATCTAACCAAATTCTAGTGGAATCATGTGTAACAAAAAACTGTTTCTAGATAGCGGAAACGTTCCGGTCATATGCAGATAATGCCTAATTGTTTTGCTCGTTTTACTTGAATTTACAAAGTAATAACATAAGAAGAATATATAATATTCATAGGAACGATTAAAAAACAGATTAGTTCGCGATAATTAACGAGAACTAATTGTACGCATTAGCCGGTCATCTCGTTTGTGCGTGCCTGTTTATTACCATGATATATTATCACGTTCTATCCACATAAACACATTGATTATTATAAAGGTCATCAAATCGTACCCAATCATTAGCCACAGTAACTATAGTTATTATACTACGTAATAATAATGGCCGTACAAAATTCACAGTACGCTAATAACATACGGCACGTTGCACCCAACCCAAAACCAAAATACAAACATATTATATGCTGCAGTAATGAACTTCACGTGGATGCAATGTTTATGATGTGTCCCATCTCTTACATGTAGCTGTTTTCGAATTAGTTTGTAGTATAATAGAAGTTAAGGGAAACTTAAGTTACCAAAAATGAGAGAGCCCGCTCAACAGCACGAATTGCGGCAGTTGCCGGGATCATCATCATCATCGATTTACAACCCGTGTTCAATGAATCTTTGCTGAACTAGCAAACAATAGATGAACTATGTTCGAAGTACCTTTTTGGAATGAATAGCACAATAATAATAATGACACGCTGTAAAGGGCATATGATAAATATATGTATATAAAAAAAAAAAAAAAAATTATATCGCTGTAGTCAATGCAGACGGTGTGAATGTTGTTCATGGACACATAATAACGCACTTATGAAATACATATATATATATATATATATAAATGCTTCCCTTGGTAATGGTCGAAGGGACGGTAGCGATAAACTGTCGTGAGTATAGTACTCGGCTAGGACCGAGTGCGGCAATAGAAAGTCGAAGTGAATTTGGTTCGCCCCTCTGTGTAGTGCCTCAGTTAATGCATGTTTTTTTACTGTGTTTATATTATGTCATGGTAATGGATGAATATGATAGGTTAAGGTATACGTGTTGCGTTAGTAGTAGGTTCAGGTTTTTAGGCGAGAAATCACATATTGATCACAATTTGTCTATAAAGATGACACTAATAATATTGTTCGCCACGTAATACACATTTGTTTCATTTTCTTTATATAATTATCTATAATTGTCTCTTTTGTATCTCATTTACTGTGTACAGTATAAGCCACAGAAGTATACACATACTGATTGCTCTCGCTGTTACTCCTTATATATAAAATATACGAAAGTTTGTCTCTTGTCAGAATGGCCATAGGCGATCGCTATACAAAATGGATCTTTTTTAGCGATTACGTTCTCTGTCGTTGTTTCGGATGAAAATTTGATCGTCATTTAATCGTTCTCTCAGTTAATTCCCAATGTCATTGCTGCAGTAGAAATCGATGGGCAACAAGAAGGTCAAGAAAGTGATGCCGAAGTCGGGCATAACAATTACATTTTTATGTACTCGATGTATATATAATGCGATCATCGTCAAGAACCAACCTTTGGCCGATACCAATCAAGCCGATTTAAGCCAAAGCTCGCGTCCAATCAAATATTGATGTTATCGTTACTCACAGAAATAGACGCGCCGTAAGCACCGCCTCCCAGCTGTATGAATTATTTCAAATTTCCTATTATAGCCAAATTTAGAAATTTTATCAGTTGAGACAATAGCGGCTGGCGTAGTCAAGACACATTTTTCGAAATAGTTTCGCGTGCATATTTGACGGGCATAAACCCCGTAGAGAAAGAGGTTTTGGAAGATTATTAGATCTAGTGATAGTGCAGGTATTTAGCGAAGTTTAATTTGATTAATATTTCACGATACGTGGCATTAGACTGCATCCATAGGTCCGCCATAGCAATAGATTATTAAAAAATCCCGGGCAGATGGGCCTAGGGCTGGTAGTGAGAGCAATAAAATTCGAGATGTTTTATATACATACATATATAGAAATGTGCATTATAAACTATAGCTCTGCTTATGATCGCGGCAATTCGGCTGAGAAAAGTATCGTTCATCAAATCGTGTTTTGTTGGTGGGATTTTTTTTTATGGACTCAATGCATATTTCCCGCTGTGACATACACACAAACGGTCTTTGAACAGCACGAGAGACAAAACGAAAGCTAAGAATTTCGATGTTTGGTGAATGGAGAATGAATGGATAGTCCTATTTTGCAATATGACTATTGGGTGCTGATGTCTTCATACGCGTATGTACGAACGAATAGTCAGTGTATAGAGTTGTGCGCCAATTATACTCGATATATTCGTTACCGAATCATGATACATCAACAGATGACTCGATCAACCGTCAATAAATCATACAAATGGATGAATAGATGAGTCAAATATGAACAACGTCAACAGCTTTTTAATGATTAATGAATGAATTATATAATTATTATTGAACTGTTCGAATGGAAGCAAGGAGATCAGCGAGTAGTATACTTTTTCGATGTGCCTACAAGGCCGTCATTGCTCAACGCTGCTGTAGGACGACCGATAGTGGCCGGCTAGCAGTTTTCCAGGTGGTAAAGGAATTAGATCTGATGATAACTACTTTCGGAAATCAGACTCCCAATACTTTACGTCTATGCAGCACCATTAAAGCATCAACATGTTGTCCTCAATTTTTTGCACGAAACCTGAACGAAGTTCATACCCGCTGGATCGAGCGTACGTAGATATGATCATACACGAACGAAACAAAATTTCTTCAAATGAGGCAAAATAGAAACATGTAGAAAACTTGTAACGTATTTGTGGATAAACACCACTGCCGTCAACAAAATCAACACCGGAAAAATTGTATTCGGTTATCCCTCGCGGAGCAGACGACGGTCGGCTGAAATGTCGTATAGCCTTAGTTCATTTGCTATAAGAACGTCGGTGCACAAAACGGCGCACTGCTCTTAATCTGCTAATTCTCATAATAATAATAATATTTAATAACACCTCCGCGCGTAGTGATCACTTAGTTAGTAATATATTCGTGCTAATGATGGTAATCTCAAAATCATCATCATCATCGATATAATGCACCAGTTTACAATTGTACAGCATATGTATATATATAATGTGTATGCGCTTGTTTATATGTGTATATATATTTAATAAATAAGTAAATAACGCATGTACTAAGGCAACCAATATATATATGTCCATTTCGTTTTTTAACAAAGTTGCCTAAATTGTCGTAATTGCTGGGTTTATTTTTACGATACGATCGTTAGAGGAGAACTGAGAACCAATGTTCGTAAGAGGTAGGATTGTTCAGGCGTTCGATCGGGGTACTTGCACGTACGACCCGGCGACTATACGTGCTGAGCTACGTATGGTGTTGTTAGGTGATACGAACTGCACGAAATAAAACTCTAAGCAGGTAAGCAGCAGTCGACAAGCTAATGTCGGCTTCTTTTATAAGCGTACAGCAGGATAAAGGAAAAACTCAAAGCGAACCTATCCAGCACAGGGCGTATTTCGAGGTGAACGAAGACACACTTAAGGCAACCCTCATTTAAATGTAATGCTAGGTTTATGCACGAGGCATAATTCTTGTTCATTGTCCTTTCCTGTTCCCTAAATTGTCCCTTGTTGACAGTCCAAAAAAACCTTTTTCTTTGTTCTACATAAATCGAATAAAGATACTTCAATTCTCGAACTCGAAATAATCTTATTTACCCCTTATCGCTGAAGTGAAAGAGCAGCTAAAAGCCGCAGTCGGCAGGTGGCGAGCGCTCGAAGGTTTTAGTAAATAGTAGCACTTCGACGGAGTGAGGATCGCCATTCTACTCAACTTTGTCGGGGATAATTATTTAGAAAAAAAAAAAAGTCTTGCTGACTGACCTGGTTCTTATTGGACGCGTAATAGAGATCCAAACAAACACTGTTTTAACAACTTCCATTCATTGACAAGAAATAGGAAATAACATAACAGTTATAGAAAATGTAGTGTCGTTTTTCTATTATCCGACGCAACCATCATTTTAGCTTGAGATTTTTTCTACTTATACAAAACAAAGACAAAAAGAAGCAGAGATAGGGCTTTTTCAATGGTAAATAAATACTTGAACGCTAGCGAACTGAAAATCAAAAATCATTGACATCATTCATGCACCAATGTGATCATACTTTTAACTGCTGCACAGCAGGAAGCCTATCGCAGCAACCTAATTGTACAATAGCACACTGGGATCTGTTCAACGTACGACAGGCAATTATAAATGTATCCGACGGCTACCGTGACGAAAACGGCTGAATTGTTACTCAGGCTGAATTTTGCGGTGATGCATTATTCTCAAGTTGTAACAACTAGGTAGCTCAATAAAAATCCAACAAAAATGTCTAATTCCTGTTCTTGAAGTTTCGTCTTTTTTTTTTCCATTTTGTACCTAGAACTGTCTTTTAAAATCATTTTGGGGTGATGTGCTAATCTCATTGATTTGAATCTTCGGATCGATTACTCGATGCTTAGGAAAAAGTCTGGCTGATGTCTCTAAAATAATAAATTATTCAATATAAATTGCCAATTTGTTTGGCTTCTTTAGAAAATGCTTAAAAACCTCATATTGCTTATGACGTTTCGCTAGTGTATCCACTGGCTTTCTTGAACGGTCCAGGCCACGCACGCTATATTTTGCAGCTTTTTTTTTTTGGTTTAAACTATTACCGGACAAAAGATAACCCAAAAACTCCGCGCTGCGGCACCCTGAGGCAAAGGTGAAGCGTCATCGTGGACCTTCCTGACGACCACACCTTCCTTTTACATGCTCAAATATACACTACATTTCCTTTTCGATAAGTAGATAAAACTTCTTTCACCAATAAGAGAACATACTTCGGTGTATGTTGAATACTGTAGGCCTGCAACAACAGGCACCAGCTGCCAAAGGCACAACTCACTGTGTCGGCCTGTATACGTCTCAACTTGAATTTCCGTAGTCTGAGGGCTCTTGCTGCGATCTGCGGCCGTCCTTTACGAAAGCCTGTGTTCAATATTGCACATATAGATTGCACCGCACAGTCTTACAGTATAGTCCATAGTTTGTACAACCTATTTCAGGCTCACGAAGTAGACACGTTGTAAGACAGTGCACAGCGGCATCAAGATAGACGGAATTGGAATCTCGCAGATTAAAATCCGTCGTTTTGCATATCCCGCGACACTACAAATTGCTGAGGGACATATTGCACCATAACAAAAGGAAACTCGAGCACCGAAGCATCTTTGTTCGTACGTATGGGCGCAAGTCAGAGCATAAAGAGGGCGAGAAATCCTTTCCGCATCCTTATACTGCTGGTCAACATGGCTCCACGTACAGACAACTGCTCATCTTCTTTTTCGTATCTTCCCGTTCTTTCTATGCAATTGTCTGTGCGTCATGTCGTTACGAAAATCGATAGCAGCCCAGTCAATGGCCGTCAGGTGCGGCCGCGCTTATAGAGACGTTCTAGTTTGTTTTCATTCGTCGTCACCTATGGGCTGCTCCCATTCCTGCTATTCGAGCGTCTTGTGCACGTTGATCATATGCGACTTGATCGATTTTCGCCAGGCTGAGCGAAAGTCGCAGAGGACGCATTTGAATGGCTTTGTTCCACTATGGATGAGCTCGTGGCGACGGAAGTTGCCGACGTCGTTTGTCTGATACGGGCAATGCGAACATCGGAAGCGTTTCTCTTCAAGCTCGAGTAGAGACTGTACGGTCGACATAAATGTCCACCCGCTTGTAGCGCCGCCGCCGCCGCCGCCGCCGCCGCCGCCGCCGTTTCCACCGCTACCAGCTGCACTGCCAGCAGCAGCACCTACAATGGGAATAAAACGTTATGCAACGAAGGAGAAAAAATAGAATTTGAAAGTGCCAGCAAAGACGATCAAGCGAATACCGGAGCACACGTTAAACTGTAAGAGTAAAAACGTTGAGAGCACCTGCACATTAGTTAAATTTGACTTTATAGAGTTATTATTATAGGGTCGACTCTCAATGGCCACTAGTATATGGAAAGCTACGGTGGCCACGGTGCTATCTTTGAATTCGTGTGAAGATATATTAGGTTAACTTTAAAAGCGTTAAAAAATCAAGAATTAGGCTTTCGGTAAGGGAGCCGCTCTTCTGCCCAGTTGGTTAATTGCTAAGACCATCACCTCCTAAGAACTATTGTTAATACGGTTAATATAAGGAGAATTGTGCATATTGAGATCATACCCATGGAAGGCTCCTATTACATATTATATAATGTACGCAGACAGGTTTATTTATAAATTTCAAATCCTGACATCTTTGGTCACTCGTTTCAGACGTATAAACAAGCTAAATATGTTTTGCGTGGACAGCCTAGGGCAAATTTCTAATTTGTTCATTCGTATATATTGGCTTTTGGGCTATTCACATAGCGACACTCTAATTCGGTATTCCCAAAGGTGTGTACAGGCCGTGTTTACTGCGATGACGCCGTCACGATCTGTGATCTCGAATCTGAAATAAATAAATCTACGTCAGAGTTGTTCGACTGATCACACACACACACACATGGTGTTATTATATCAGCTTACGAAGTCCGATAACGTTTAAAGAATCAGTACAACGGATCCTGACGAACATGTTGGAAGGGTTCAATTCTAACTTTTGGCACATGTAAATTGGCTTTGTATAAATAACAACTGCTAATTATCCCACAAAGTAAATAGATTTATTATCGTTTTATTGTCATTATATGCCTGTCATCATCTTCAAGCGATCGGTCCGTTGTCGTCAAGCCATCAATAGTTTTCGATCATTGCGACGACCAGGTGGCTCCTATCTCTAGTCCGATTATGTATGTACATCGTACTCATACAGTTATTATTGTGCATGAACAATAATTTCGTACAAAATATTTATCGATCTTCTTCGGTATCAATCAGTTCTAATAATAATCATAACGGAAAAATGGTATCGTCGTCACCATATCATTATAGTCCTCATCTCTAAATGCAACATCTTTATCAGAATAAATGTTTACGTCGCTTATATTTGTTTTTCGATGCGTATGTATATAGATATTTTTTTTTTTATATATAGCAGTGCTGTGTATTCCAGAGGATAAATGCACATCATGTTGAGATATCTGAAACCTTCTCAGTCTTCCGTTTTTTCCCGTTACACAAGTTGCACATGGATTCGATAT